TTCAGAGAAGTATAGACGCGAGGGTTTGTTTCAAAAGGTATCAGCACTTGAGGAAAAAGCTGTTTGAGTGGACCTTTCTACTTAAATTTGGAATACGGGGGAAATAAGAATGATTCGAATCCGTTGAAGTAGCATGGCGTGTTCTGGCAGTAAAAGTCTGAATTAGTGAAACTAAAAAGTGATCATTTGTCATGGAAATCGCTATAGTCTGACAACAGGATCCCAATGTTGCGTCTATGGGAAAGTGGTTGTTGAGTGGAAAATAAGTCTTCATCTGCAAGGCCGAGTTAACCAATCTGAACACTACCAGTCAAGTTATAGCAGCAACAATCCATTTATGACTCACTTTGAGACATTTTGACGTTAATCGAATAGTATTTTCCATTAATTGATATGGAAAAACATTTTGAGCGTGTACCAGACCAAAAATGATGATGTTTTTTAAACCTTTCACATTAGCCGTAGCAGACGAAAGACTTCAACCTTCTGACTCAAGGCAAGCAAGCACAGAAAATGTTTGTTTGTGAACACTAAAAAGAAAAGTTAATTATTGTTAATTGCTTCTTGACTTTACGCCATTTTAGACGGCGTGGTGAGTCCGCAGATGAATTGCCAAAGTGGGTTTTGTGATTCTTAGTGAATTCCATTTCCTAGTTCTTATTTGACAGGGGTGGCACCTGCCTTGGTTTTCTGCTGCTTCAAGGTTTAATGTGTTGTGTGTCCAGAGATGTTCTAGTGCAGGGGTTATCAAACTGTTGTCCGCGGACCACGGGGGGGGGGCGCAAGGACAAGATAGGGGGTCCGTGGACAGCAAACACTTTTTTATGGGTGACGTGCAACTTATAAGCGCTTATAAGTAGGCCGATCATGAAATAAATCGATTCAATAAACTATTTCATAGATTTGATATACTAATATAATTTGTATCTTAAATTGATAAAGATAATGGATTCTATTCATGCAGAGAAGGAACCAAATGATTTGAATTTTGGATCTCTTTTGCGATTTCCGGCTTTCTCATTGGCTGTTAGGCGTTTGCATTAATGCAAAATTGTGTTATATTCAGCAAATATTTATGAATAAATTTCATAAGCGTTTATAAGGGGGTCCCTAAGTTAAAGCCTGAAATATAAAGGGGTCCGCAAGTCAAAAAGTTTGAAAAACCCTGTTCTAGTGTATATCTGCGTTGCAAAGTATCGTTATTTGAACTGCTGTTTTCTGTCAGCTTAAACCAGTCCGGCCATTGGCCTCTTTTAGCAACAAGAAATTTTTGCTCCTGAATTGCCGCTCACTCAGCGGATTTTTTTCTTTTATCGACCATTTTCTGTAAAGCTTAGAGATGGTTGTGTGTGAAAATCCCCTTTCCCCTGCATGAACTGAAGTTATAGAATTTAAGAGGTTGTATGTTGGTTTCCATTTTAAGTGGAGACATGTTCAATTACGATAAACAAAGATGCTTAAGAATAAACTAGAGGTTCACAAGCAGATTATTCACTTTTTGTATAAACTATAGTGGAACAAAGTTCTTGGGTATGTCCATTATTTTCCCTCGGTCCAGAAGTTAGGGTAAGTATACACATCATTATAATAATCGATCACAAGTCAGCCTTGCGCAGAGTTGGAACGACCAGAGAAAAAGCTTGACTTATTCATAGGTGGATGTTTTAGGGAGACACGTGTGTGTGCCATGCGTTGGAAAGTGGGAAGAGAGTTCAATTATCTGTGGACCGGGGAAGCTAACATTCTCCAGCGGGAACGTAATTATCCCGTATTGCTAAGGGAGAAAAAGAGCGAGGCAGGAAACTTTTTTTTTAATGAAATTCAACAGCGCCACCTTGCGGCGTTTGACGAAACCAAAGAGGCTAATCATATTTCCGGTTATTTTACTTTTAAGTTCATGGGAATATGTATTTATTTTTTACGTTTTTTTATTATTCATTATTATTATTATTATTATTATTTTATGTATCGATTTTATTTCATTTTCCCACAAATTTCAGCAATTTGTCATGACCCCGTTTAAATGCCAATATCCGTTAAATTACTGCCATGTCATTGGCTGATGAAAGATTTGCATAAAAGAGCATTTGTTCTCGTCTGCTTAATTATGTGTATACTAAAATGTAATATTAGGGTTTTTGACCTGTTAAAGCATAAATTATCATGAATTCGTGCATTGTTTACAATCACTATTTTGACGTGTCCAGGAAATTCTATCTTGCTTAGTAGATCGATAGGTGACCGCATTGAGACAGCAGTAAGTAACATGAGACCTATGTGTCAAATAAATGCTTGAAAAGGTCTGTTTATATTAACAACTACATGTGTATCAACATTTGGTGTATTTAGAACAAGACAGAAAGTATTAATGTTGTCCTTTCAAGGTTAAATCGCCCACTCTATCATGGTATTTAAACGATAACTGCAAGAAGAGGCATTGCGCCAAGTAAAAGAGAACAGACTTGATGAGAATTTGAACTCAACACTTCTATTCCATATTTCGCGTTGATAACCCTTACGTCATCCACACATCTCATACAGTTTAAAGGCTTTTATTGTGTTTCTTTAGAAGATATTTTACGATATTGTAAATGCATTGTAAATACTTTTATTATAGATATGTGTATTTTTTTAAATTATTGTAGAACTTACTTTTTTATTTTTGTTACTAAATTTCGCATAATGCTAAGCTTAAGAGCCACTCAAGGCAGAGATTGCTGAATAAATTGTGTGATTTGAACATAATAGGAGAAAGTCAGAAGATTATTAGGAGTTACTATAGTATGATATCTACTATTTATTTTCTACTATAGTATGATATTTGGAAGTATGAAATTTGTTGGAAGTGTGAAATGTGTTAGGATTAGGGGGTTAGGATTAGGGTTAAAGGCAGTGAACAGTGAACTTTAAGTTATGCATTAAAATCATTACCAATTTTTTTATACAAAAAAATAAAAATCATCAAATAGTGATTTTAATATTTGTAAACTGATTTGATATCATTTAAATAAACAGTAAACAGGTCATCGTTTATTGAGCTTGTATGCATCGTTATTTTTGGTAGGTCTCAAATGCCTTGATAGATACCATACTATAGGAGCACCGTTTAAACCACTCCAGAAAAAAAAATTAATTGTGTATCGTGCAACGGGTCTCCGAAAATACATGATTTTTACCATTTTTTAAAAGGCTTTTAATTTACAAGATTTTTTTACGACAGAAACGCATAGTAAATGCTTTTACTATAGAAATATGTATTTTTAAAAAAATATTGTAGAAATTACTTTTTTAAATTTTTGTTACTAAAGTATGCAAACTTTAGTAACAAAAATTAAAAAAAGTAATGCAAGGCCGAAGAGCCACTCAATTTAAGGGTTGTTGTATGAGTTGTATGATTTGAACATAAAAGTCAGAAGATTATTAGGAGCGACTAGAGTATGATATCTACTATTCATTTTCTACTATAGTATGCTATCTACTATGCCTTTTCTAGTATGGTATGATATTTACTATACATTTTCTACTATAGTATGATATCTACTATTCATTTTCTTCTATAGTACGATATCTACTCTTCATTTTCTACTATGGTCTGATATCTACTATTCATTTTCTACTATGGTATGATATTTACCAACTCTTGGAAGTGTGAAATATGGTAGGGTTAGGGTTAGGGTTACGTGTTAGGGTTAGAGTTAAAGGCAGTGAACAGTAAATTGGTTATGTATAAAAATTATTAACAATTTTTTCATACAAAAACATTTTAAAGAAATCATCAAATAGTGATTTTAATGTTTGTAAACTGATTTGATATTATGAAAAAAAAAATCAGTAAAAATGTCATCGTTTTTCCCGAGCATTTTCCAGTAATAATGATTGCATCGTCATTTACGGTAGGTCGTAAATGCCACGGTAGATCTCATATTATAGTATCACTAGTTATTAGTATAGAGGAGAGATCACGTTTGACGTGAAAAGGTTCCACACAGGAGTCTGCCCCACAAAGTAACGGGTGTTTGGGAAGAAACTGCCTGAGTGGAAATTCTCAGCAACAGAATACGTAAGTAATGGGTGTGATTCCGATCTGTGGGTGTAGCTAGGCTGTTGTTGCCCGTAAAGTCATGTGTAGTAACTTTCAAGACCACACGCCTTTCGTGATCCCCTAAACGCATAGTCCACTGTTGATATTTGTGGTCAAACAATATGGCGGAACTTACTTCCGGGACCTCCGCACACAAAGGCGTCAGTAGCACTTCCGGTCCTCTGGAATGGCTTAGTTACAACTGTATGAACTAAAAAAGACTCGGGAAAGTAAAGTATTACGAAATAGTAAAATTTCGTTAGAAACACTAGCTTACGGCCATATCAGGTTGAAACACATTTTCTCATACGATCATCGAGGTTAAGCAACGTCAAGTGTGGCCAGTATCTAAATGACTTACCGCTTGGGAGTACCAGGTAACGTAAGAAAAGATTCCCGAGTGGATGCTTCCCTGATAACTACAATCTAACTACAAAGGTGACGGTTAACCCTAGACTTACAGAGGTAAATTCTTAATTAAATTAATAAGTTAATAGTAACGACCAACACAATAACGATTAGTAATCCTTTACAGCTAGTACCAGCCATCTCTCGAATACAGGATTGACTCAACGCATTCTATTAGTAAGAAGGGAATTACACTCAGACAGATTTTCCTCAAAGCCACTGTTTTGTGGGTCAGGCTCCCGAGAGGATGCTTCTTCGATGACTTCTGAGTGTAAACCGTTATCTATCCTATAAATCATAATACTAACGACCAACTCAATAATGACTAGTAATCTTTTACAAGTAGTACCAGCAATTTCACGAACACCGGATTGACTTATCATATCCATTGGTAAAAAGGGAATTACACTCAAACAGTTTCCCCACCAAAACTAAACTCCCGAGAGGATGCTTTCTCGATGACTATAAACAAACTGTTTTTTTATCCTATACATCTTTATAATCTGAGGATTACGGTCACATCTTGTTGAAACACCGGTTCTCGTATGGTCACCGAAGTTAATCAATGTCGAGCCTGGTCAGTATCTAGATGGATGACCGCTTGGGAATGCCAAGTGCTGTAAAAGTGGATGTGTGTGTGGTGTATTGGATAACGAGTTAGAATTGTTAATCGGGAAGCCAGGTTTCAATTCCCATTGGCTTAGTTATATCCGCTTACGCGCAAATACCTTTGGTAAAGTATGAATCCACCCCACCCCAGTTTTTGGTTAATTAGTAAGAGTTGTATCACGAAATTATTATTATCTCCACCCTCACACTCAAAAGAAATTCTTACAATCTAGATATATGTTTTGGCTTTAAATAACCCGCAAAATGTTGACAAACCGTAAAAAACGAATCAGAATCTGAACTTGCTTCATCCTCTTACGATATAAAACAACTACATTCGGCAAGCCTCTACTTTGAGTGGCTTTGGGAGCTTGTATTGGGGGGATATTTGTAAAAACAAAAACAAACAAACCGGTTCTCAACTTTGCCTTTCTTTTCTCGTTTTTAAAATAGAGCACTGAGAAATTTTGCACAGTCTTAATATGTTTACATGTTTGCGATATTTAGAGAACTTGTGCGTATCATTGGGAATATATAAGAAGTTATATCTTTCTCCTTTAAAACCGGTTTCAGGTAACCACCCGAAGAATTTTCTAACCGGTTTAGCGAGAAATACCTGACAAAAGATTTACAAGTTTTCTTCAGTACAAACAACACAAGGATTATCGTTGTCAAGGCAATGGGTGCTAAGGAAACAATCACTGCTACTGACAATTAATTGAGGATGTACATACTCGACGCGATGGAGATATGGTTCTACACAAGGATGCTCAGGATATCATGGAGCGAGTGTGTTAGCAACGATGAGGTCTTAGAGAGGATGCAAACTAGGAGGAAGCTTATACTTAACATCGGGAAGTGGCAGATGGAATTCCTGGGACATGTAATGAGAAAGGAGGGCTTGGAGAATCTGATACTCTCAGGTCGAATAGAGGGAAAGAGAGACAAGGAAAAGCAACGCATCACATACGTAGCGAGCTTAAGCAAGTGGATGACAGAACGTTGTCTGGGGGAGGTAGCAGAAACTTATTGAGAGCTGCAAGGAATAGGAGGAGGTGGAGAGCCATGATTGCCTACGTCCTGAAAGGACACGGCACATAAAAAGAAAGAAGAAATCTCTACAATATTTTTATAATCTGATTAGTTACGAACACTGAAGTAAAGCAATGTTGAGCCTAGTCAGTACCTATATAGGTAGACGATTTGGAATATCAAGTGCTCTAGCTTGGATGTGAGGATGGAGTAATGGATAACGGCCCGGAATTGTTTATCGGAGAGCCGAGTTCCAATTCCAGTTAAATTCGTTATATCTACTTACTCGAAAATACCTTTGCAAACAGCAATTATCTGACTGATTATGAGTTAATTAGTAAGACTCATATCTCAAAAAAATAAAAATAAATAAATAAAATTACATACAAAATATTTAAAGTTCGCTATTAAATAACCCATAGAGGTGTTGATATGCCGGTAAAAAAAAAACACACACACACACACAAAAAAAAAAAAACAAGCAAACTAATCCAATTGGTAATGGTAATGGTAATGGTAATATTAACCGTTTCCTTATAATGAAGCATTTGACATACATTGACCGAGCAGCAACTATTGGTTGAAATTCATAAGATCTTTCTCTTATAACAATTTTATCAGAAGAAAGGTTTCTTATATCCAGTAGCTGTTAACGCTCTTTCTAGTATTGATGGAAGTTTCCTTTCTATCCTTTTATTTGAAGCTGTGTGGAATGCGAACATCTTTATTTTCTCTTCGATTTATACGTGCTAGCGATTTTAGTTGTTGCTGCTCTTGGAAGTCTTCAAGGGATGTGGTTTCTGTTATTTAGTACAGTTCATTATTTGTGAATCTGTAGCGCCAGTTACGACGTTCAAAGAGGGGTGATCTTTGCCAAGACCCTTAGCCTCACACACTCAAAGACTGGAAGCAATTATATATTTGACGTATATGATAGATTGACTTATTTTTCTACGGGTTATCAACCCTTTGCAAGTTATTTAAAGCCAGAACATATTTTTTAGATTTTATGAATATTTTAGAGATAATAATGATTTTTACTTAGTAATTTGTGTGGATCTGGGAAGGTACTTATAGCTATCTTCTCCTCCTGACAGAGTTTACAACTTTGGAATTTATTGTTGTAGGCTGTTGCTGTTTTCCTTATTTTCCATGATATTTTTTACGTAATTTGTTTTTAATTTCCTATATATGTTTGGAAAGAATTGTACTGTTTGGGTATTTACTATTTATAAAGGGGGATTTGTGTACATGGTTTCTCTCTTTCCTAGTTCCTTTATTTGATTCTGTATACATCTTTTTTCGTTATCTGATGTTTTTACAATGACTTGATATATTATTTTCCAAGCAATTGCCATATAAAGGACATTCGGTTTTTGCTCTACAGTTACAGGCTAGTTTAATTGTGCGACTGTAGCTGATTTATTTGGTGTAGCACCGAAAATAAGATACAGATAATAAAAAAAAAGAACAACAGAAAAATAACCGACAAACCTTCCGCATAAATCGAAGTCATTACCCAATAGTAGTCTAGCTCGTTAGCCATTACCCCATGCCGAGGTGCCCAACATTTGTAATTTACTAAGCTTAGCTTAATTTCCTACTAGAACACTCAGCGACAGAGGAAGCGTCTAGTAATTTGGACTTTGCTAACCAGACGCTTCGTCTGTAGCTGAGTGGCATAGCAAGTCAGATCAAATGACGGTTACGTGTAAGGCGCAGGTTCGATTCCTGTCGGAGGACACATATTTTCTACGAAATTTCTCGGACATTCAGGCTAGTAAATGTAATTAATACTCTTTATTATAAACAGAGCATTTACTTAAATAACTGTACCTATAAATATAACGTATAAATAGAAAATATATTATATATTAATTACTATAATTATTAATATTATTCTTATTAATATTATGCCTTTACTTCATTCAAGACAATAAAATTTCTTATTAGAGAAAAGGATTACCCAGGACAGTATATGGCAATTCAAAGTTAAAAAAAGACAAAAAATAAAAACTAGTATACCTACTCGAATGCATGTAGCCACTAAATAGGACCTTTATAGTAATAATAATTAATGTTAGATTAAAAAATCCCTTAATTGCACACACACACACACACACACATATATATATGTATATATATATAAAATACCATTATTTTTAACTATCTGATTGAAATGACATGTACAATTTTGTAGTAGTAACTTACATGTTCTATTATAACAATGTATGACACATACATACATGCATACACACACATCCCCCCATATATATATATATATATATATATATATATATATATATATATATATATGGCCTGACGATTGCATATAGTATGAAACAGACTGTCGCCTCTAAGTGTTGACTTCTATGTTCACTTTTATATTTACACACGCTCTATCTCTGATATTGAGCACTTTATTCCATGAATATAGCACATCTTAAGACTATATTTCTTTTATTTTGCCTACTCGGATCGGGGTTTTTTTCTTTGGGCCTTTGGACTTGCATGCTCGGCGATTATTTTCGGCTAACGTACATGTTCTTGGTTATTTCTTTTTTATACCTTTTTTTTTCCATTTCGTGTTGGTTTGATTATTTGCAAATCAAGACATCGAAGATCGAAGGTTTTCCGGACGAGTGTAGTTTCTTATACTTATAAGATTATTACTGCTAATATATATATATATATATATATATATATATATATATATATATATATATATATATATATATATATATATTATATATACGTATAAACATAAAAATGTCTTAAAATAATTGTCGGACTTTGTCCATTTGATAATGTGTGACGTCATTTTCTTACATTTGGATACGCATCGAGCAGATATGAATGCACGTGAGAAAATTGTAGTTTAAAAACAGTAAAATCGATCTTGCTAACCGAAATGCTCCTCTGCGGCTCAATCGGTAACAGCACATCAGGCTATATGACGGTGCCGTATAGGATACAGGTTCGATTCCTGTCGGAAGACGTATATTTTCTATGAAAATTTCTTCGACATAAATGTCGTTAATACTGTTTATTATAAATAGAGCATTTACTTAAATATTTGTATCTATAAAAAGAACGTATAATCATAAAATATATATATATATATATATATATCCAACAAGTATTCATCCAACCAAGTTTGATTAAAAAGACTCAACGATGTTTATTTTAATTGTGGTCGAAGTTGTGCACAACTTTTCCGAAGTTCATATTTTGTTGTTGTTTCGTTCGAGTGCTTTGAACCATCCCAGTCATTTTCAAGAACCGTGTGGTGTCTGTGTGATAGAATTCCTTTGACTACATCTTGGTAGACGTGTGCACGGATTTCACTGAATTTCGACGGGTGAAAGCTTAGCCTGTGAGAGAGTGTAATGCGTATGTGCCTGATGTAGGGATTTAATGCTGTCTTTTGATTATTAAAAGTTTATCCACAACTTCGATAACCAATACTCAACAACGTATTCAAAGGTTAGAAATATAGAATGAAACATTAACAACAGATCCGTTTCTTTTAAGCAAATTTATGCACAATACTATATTATATTTGTAATAATCTTTGAATCCACATATAATATAGGGTTGCTCCCATGGGACACAGAAATTAAAAAATAAACTGTATTGAACAGTTGGTAATGTTTTGTACCTAATGATTAGGAAAACCATGAAACTCTGTGTCGTACTGTAAACGTAGGTATACGTGTAATTATTAATATATCATTTATAGCTCTACGTTGAGAACTGTTTTTGTCTATGTCATTGATTAAATAAATGGTTGCTTGCTCACCTTTATGCGTACGTAATTGTGCACATATATGACAGTATTGCTTTATTTAGATCATTTCTACTAACACACAGACACATACATACACACACACACACACAGACACACACACACACACACACACACACACACACACACACACACACACACACACATATATATATATATATATATATATATATATGAAAATTTCTCCGATTTAATGGAATACATAAATATATATATATATATATATATATATATATATATATATATATATAACGAGAGAAAAGAGTTTATTTTACAGAGAAAAGAGAAGCCGCAAACATTTTTTGGTTGTAATCTGGATTTTTTAAAATATGTATTAAACCTTATTTTCCATATTTTTTGCTACACGTGTTTCGGTCTTGTGATCTTTATCAGCCGAAGAATGGTTATTTCCATATATTATTTAACGGAATTCATTTTATTTATACACACACACACACACACACACACACACACACACATATATATATATATATATATATATATATATATATATATATATAAGTGGACATTGAAAGTCAACACTCAGAGGCGACAGATTGTTTCATGCTAAAAGCAATTATGATTACGTTTAACACGAAAACAGTCTGTCGCCTCTGAGTGTTGACTTCAATGTCCACTTTTATATTTACATACGCTCTATCGCTGATATTGGGCACTTTATCCCATAAATATAGCATACGTTAAAACTATATTTCTTCATATATATATATATATGTGTGTGTGTGTGTGTATATATAGAGAGAGAGAGACAGAGAGAGACAGAGACAGAGAGAGAATTCTATTTTTAAAATGCATATTAATTTGCATCTGCCTATAACGTGCCAACCTTCTGTCAGTGGGTATTGTTCACTGCTTCAGCCATGCGAAGCAAAATCGATGTTCGTTTGGTCTCATGCCTGGCGTCAGCTGGGAACTGTTGTTATGGTTACGCTGGAGTTGTTTCTTCTTTATTCACCTTCTTTTGTCCACTTTTGCTTCTCGTAAAGAACAGCTTTGCGACCATATGCAGATGAAACTCCGGTTCCCGTCCGATCACCGAAAGTTAATCAAGCTGTAAGCTTGCAATCACGGATAATGTAATGGATAATGTCTCGAATTTTTAATAGCAGAGCCGAGCTCAAATTTCCATTTGGTTCGTTATACTATACTTACGCAAAAATACCCTTGGGAAAAGCATAAATCCAGCTCCCCCCCTAAGTTCATGGGCTAATTAGTAAGTCTTGTGTCTCTAAACCATTTTATCTAAAACAAACCTTCTTACAATCTAAAAATATTTTCTGGCTTTAAATAACCTGAAAAGGGTTGATAAACTAAAAAAAACGAATCAATCAATCAATCAAATACTGATTAGCTACACAGACGTTTTTTTTTTTACTTATTTATATTCTCTGGGATATAAATGTATAAAAACTACCGTGGCCACAAAGAGGGGGATGAGTTTATATATTGATTGTAATATAGAAATGATCCCCCACTTTATGATTTCTTGTTTATCAATTTCTGAATTCTGAAATATTGTCTGGCTTTAAATAATCTGCAAAGTGTTGATAATCCGTAGAAAACGAATCAATCAATCAATTAAATATTGATTAGCTACACAGGCATGTCTTTTAGATTTATCTAAATTCTCTGGAATTTTAATGTATAGAAACTACAGTGGCCACAAAGTGAGGGATAAGTTTATATATTGATTGTAATATAGAATTGATCCCCCACTTTATGATTTCTTGTTTATCAATTTCTGAATTCTGAAATAATTTCTGGCTTTAAATAACCTGCAAAGGGTTGATAAACCGTAGAAAACGAAATAATCAATCAATCGTAAAGAATAGCCCCCCCCACCAACAACGAATGTATTTATTTGACATTAAATTCCTGTCGATGTCACAAAATAAAAATTTTACAAAAGTAGAAATGATACATGGTATGAAACAAAGGGACACTGGCATTTTATTTCGTAATATCCGTTGAGATCATGGAAGCGTCACCCGGCTTAAGCTTATGGGGGGTTGTTGTGGGGATATTTGAACAAATTAGAACAAGTGTGTTTATCCTCACCGAGGGATGTATTTATATTTGGTGATAAAGTTCGGGTTTCGACCCCATGTCAGAAATTTGGGATTTCGAATATTTTTTCAGACTTATATCGAAGTCAGCTTCTGTCAGAATTCATTTTTCTTAAGACTTGTAAATAACCTACTACAGTTGTCAGCAATAAAGAAAGTTTAGATGTCAAAGACACTTCTAAGATTTCACGAATATAATTTTTATAAATGCTTATATTGGCTTTGATGTCAGCCAGTTGCTATATGACGTTTACGTAACTCGAATTACGTATCAGAAGATAAATAATTTTTATTCTTTCCGTAACAGAAAAAAGTCAGTCAGTTATGTGCCTTGCTTGATACACGCTTAGGTGATTATGTATCTTTCGATACATGACTGACGAGATAGATTTTTTCCTGCAGTAGGTTGCCATTTCTTTCTGCGGTAGACCAGTTTTCATTCAAGGCTATAGAACCCGGTCTGTCCTGCTATTTACCCATAACGGGTTGGGGAGAAGAGGATTCATACCTTTCTCAAGGTTATTAGCACGTAAATGAATATAATAGATTCGATTGAAATTCGAACTCGGCTCTCCGATCCCTCAATCCATTACCGTTATCCATTACTCCACCGAGAAAATGGTTTTGCCAAATGGTAACGCCAGGCCTTATGTTACAAATGCAGCGCAATAAAATTCATATAAATCGGATGAGATGTTCTCCAATAATGCCACATTAACATGGATAACATCTTCAAGACAGCTGAATATTTCCAAAATGTCGATGCCCTAACCTAGCTTAAAAAGACAGGTTTTCGATTCCTGATTTTCTATGTTATCAGGTCTTTCCTCTTATTTACAGGGAGGCCCGAAATTCTTGTTACCCCTATCTAATATAATTTTCTATTTCAACGCCTTGTGGGGTCATTATCATCATGGAGAGAGTTTCACCTGAACGATACCAGAATAACCATCATTTGAAGGAAGTCATTTGGAGAGCCTTTGCAACAATCAACAGAGAACAGATTCGTAAAATATCACACAGGACATGGCGTTGAATCATTTTGTGCCATTAAAATGATGGTCTTCATACAGACCTTGTCGATGGTTCGGTTTATTTTGTTTAACAGAATATCAACCTCAATGAGTTATTTACTGCCAACAACATTTTTAGGATAGATTCGTATGAATAGAATATGTATTCTTTGGTTTAGATTGGTTTGGTTTATTTTGTTTAACGGCATATCAACCTCAATGGGTTATTTAATGCCAACAACATTTTTAGGATAGATTCGTATGAATAGAATATGTATTCTTTGGTTTAGATTGGTTTGGTTTATTTTGTTTAACGGCATATCAACCTCAATGGGTTATTTAATGCCAACAACATTTTTAGGATAGATTCGTATGAATAGAATATGTATTCTTTGGTTTAGATTGGTTTAGTTTGTTTTGTTTTACGACATATCAACCTCAATGGGTTATTTAATGCTGACAAAGATTTCATTGTTGGTAATATTTTTTCGAAAAATCTATTTCTGGTAATATACTTTCCTTCAAAAATCTATCTCTGGTAATAATTTTCCTTCGCTGGTAATTTTCTTTTCAAAAAATGTATAGCTGGTATTTTTTTTACAAAAATATATTGCTGGTAATAATCTTTTCTTTTTGTTTTTTACAAGTTATTTCTGGTATAAAAAACCTATTTTTACACTATCATAGTGTTTTAACCTCAGTTTGGGGGGTTAATTATTTACCCATAGTTGGGACCCTAACAGGTGCTACCACCCCGGATCAGGGTAGACTTGGGAACACCAGCAATTGAAGAGATGGTTCCTCGCTCCTCAAAACATCCTGATCAGAGGCCTTACTGTTGGACGTAGTTTATCGTCTTACCCAGGACGCGGATGTAGTTTATCGCCCTACTCCGGGCGGACCTTCTCGATGTGTGACAGCGTCAATGAAAGTGAATAAACTGAATCCAGTACATGTGATTTGTATGACTGTATTACTTGTTCTTCTAGTGTTCTCATTACCTTTTTGGTGCATATGGGGACTAGTTGGGACTTCATGGAGACCATGAGGTATTATGGTGAATGTAGTAAGAATGTTAAGTAAGAATGTGTTCGTTTTAGTTTAAGGAATACTGTGGTATGTATGATGTCAGTATTTTTTTGTAAAGGATGACAAGACTTTCAGACCACCTTGTGGATCGGCTGAACGCCATCTCCTCTCATTTGCCTTCAAGCTGAGCACTTATCTTGAGTATTTGGTATCGTACAAACTGTTTCATTAACCCTTCCGAAAATAAGCTTTTTTTTTTTCAGTTGCTCACGTCGCCACATCTGCACCGCTTGCTTGTTGGCACCAAGTCATCATGCACTACGGCTTAATGCAGATCCGTATCTGGTACCCAGCACTTGTGCTAATCTGTAGCCGGTTTACTTTGATCAAGACATCCACCTTCCGTGCTCGATGTTATTTTGTACACCATTTGCTGATTCGTGATGCGTTCTGGGTCTTGATTTATTTTGTCCAATCACTCGTGCAGATGAAGAAAAAAATTTTTACAGAAGAGGTTAGCTGCGATGGATAAATTGCCATCTAAATTACGCAAAGAAAAAAGGAAAATAACACTGACATCTCATTTTAACAGATATATTTACCAAAATTACACAAAAATATCTTGAAATACAAAAGATTAAATTTATTCAATAAAATCACCACTGGCTTCAACCACGGCCTCCAGACGACTTCGGAATGTCCTGAAAATCTTCTGGACAGTCTCCTTGGGTGAAAGCTGCCATAAACCTTGCCTTCACGTTATTTTTCGTATTACAAGGAGTATCTCGCTCAACTGAGGAGGCACGGTGGAGTAATGGATAGCGGCTTGGAATGAGGAATCGAAGAGCCGAGTTCGAATTCCAGTCGAATCCATTACATTCACTTACGTGCTAATACCCTTGGGAAAGGTATGAATCCTCTTCTTCTCCCTCCAGCTATGGGTAAATAGCAGGACAGTCTATGTTTAATAAAATTCCATTTCTTTCTTCAGAAAATTAGCTTTGTTTACGTTGGTATATGGAATAATTTGGAAAATCTGTGACGAGAGGTTTCATTTAAGGGTCAAATTTCGGTCTTGCCTCAACGGCTTAATTGGTCAGAGAGTATAAGATCTAATGGTAGCTCTCTCTGTCCAGAGTGACGCAGGATCGAATCATGCCAGAGAGAGTAAATTTTTCTTTAATAAGAATTCTCGAACATTCAGACCGGGAGACGAAAATAAATATTTAAATATACTGTTTAATAAATAAACGGGACGTCTTCTCAAATAAGAATATCCTCTTAAAATGCCGTTTTTAAGTGATATATATATATATACACACACAGAGAGGGTGCGATAGATAAATTGTCGTGTAAAAAATGAAAATAACAGACATCTCATTTTAACATATATTTACCAAAATTACACAAAAATATTTTGAAATACTAAAGAGTAAATTTATTCAATAAAATCGCCACTGGCTTCAACCATAGCCGCCAGACGACTTCGAAATCACTTGCAACTCATCTGGACGATCTCTTTGTTTAAGTTGGTGAATGCTGCCATAATCATTGCCTTCAGTTCATCTTTGATATTACAAGGAGTTTTGTTAGTCTCTTGCTCAAATGCGCCCCACACATAATAATCAAGCCGACAAAAGTCTGGGGAGTTAGGTGGCCAGGTGTAAGGTGTGATGTAGTCGCAGAAATCGTCTGACAGCCATGACTGGGTTCTCCTGCTTGTCTGGTAGGGCGCAAAAACATGTTTCCAGACATAGTGTCTTCCAGCAACCATCCTTTTGACCAAGGGCAGAACTATCTCCTTAAGTAGGTTGATGTAGGCCTCCGCGTTGAGTCTGAGGCCCTGTAGGAAGATGACAGGAGGCATAACGTCGCCGTCACTAGTTATCACGCCAAACGCCCTCGTAATCACCATTAAACTCATGAAACTCTTTCAGAATCCCCTGCACTGTCTTCAGATTGACACCCAAACACACCAAAATGTTCGTAGTGGAGCTTCGAGTGCGAATGCCAAACAGTACAGCAGAATAAAATTGCGTCCTGTTTCTCTTTTTCTCACAGACAACTGCCCAAATGGTTCTACTATACTGTGTATTTGACAAAATCAAAAACAAACAACGCGCATGCGCGAAATTAAAAAAAAAATATATATAAAATGGCGACATCTCATCGCATCCTATATATATATATATATATATATATATATATTTATATATATATATAATTATTATTTATAAAAAATTATAACATAATTTATAAATTTATAAATTAATTTATAATTTATAAATTATAACATACTTATGTTATAATTCTTTATAAATAATAATTATATCTGCTCTACTTTGTATTGAGCACTCTTTTAAGAATAGTAATTGTTGGTTATTAGAATTCATTCCGTATACACCAATTATATACTTGGATATATATATATATATATTAATAGTAATATTTGGTTGGAAATAAGTTCAGATAGCACAACTTGTAGATATGTCAAAACAAATTAGTACCCGAGAAAAAATTGGAAAAAAAAAGAAAGAACTAAAAACATCTGAACAGGGCGAAACAAATCGTCCAATGCCTTAAGTTTTTAGTCCAAAGAAGAAAAACCCCAAGCGAGTCGTAAAACTAAAACGTAGAGTGCTCAATACGGTAAGCAGAGCGGGAATAATAATAAAATAATTCCTAAAGTGCCAGGAAAACCTGCCTAGGTTTCACCTAAACGGATCGTCAGGATAAGCCAGCTTACCCTGAAGATCCGTTTAGGTGAAACCTGGGTAGGTTTTCTTGGCTCTTTATGATTTATTTTATTTATATACCTATATAGATATATAAGTGTGTAATTCGGTATCAATCAGTCTTTTATATAAGTTTCATGGAAGATGACCGATAAGAAACGGTGATTAATCTTTTTATCAATTCATCAAGTGTTTTCTTTTTGGACATAAAGTGTGTAAAACTTTTCAAATGTTCTATGGACCGAATGCTTTCGTCTAGTTTATTAGCCATTATCAAGGCTGTTTTTTAACAGTATATATATATATATATATATATATATATATATATATATATATATATATATATATATATATAGGGGGTAGTGGAATAGGAATATTTTTATTTAAATTTCCGAAAACGGTCAGCATGTTTTGGCCGTGTTCATAGTTGATATTATTCAGAGTTAGCATCATCTTTTTTTTATTATCCTTCCATTATTTTAACAGTTTTTCCATATAGATGAGACTATTATGTTCGTATTTTCTACAAGTATGTTGGCGACAGAATATGGTAGGTCTTTTTTGTGTGTTTAAATTGGCCATAATAGAGCTATAATCCTATATATATATATATATATATATATATATATATATATATATATATATATATATATTGGAAGAAATAGTAAGAATAAAAGCTAAAAGCTTAAAATAAGCTAAAAGCTTAAAATCTAAAATAAACGTATAAATAATTTATAAGCTATAAATTAATATATATATATATATATATATATATATATATATATATATATATATATATATTCGCAGCAGGATCTTGTGCACGAGGCTGAAATTGATTCAACTATTTAATATAAATAAAAAAAATCTCCTTCCTAGGCAATAGCGCCTTGCTCCTTATCAAAGTACTCCACTTATAAGTACAGAAAACCCTTCCACTTTTCAAGAACAATCACCATCCTCTTCAATCTCATAAATTGTCCATTGTCCTTTTGTTGGATTTAGGTCCTTACATATAGAAAATGTTTTTAACACATGAAAAAAAAAATTAAATTTGGCTTTAAATTCCAATTTTTTTTTTATTTAAACTCTCGTAACTTAATTGACCTTATTTATCAATTATTAAAAGAAATGATTAAATTATCCTAATTAAGATTATTTATAATTATCATTAATTTATAATTAGGATTAAATTATATTGATTATATAAGAATATTCATTTCACCGGCTTGGATTGAAAACAGTGTGCTTTTACTTACATTCCGGTCCCGACTGTTCAGATTAAAGTTTCCTATTGCAAATTACATTCCTGTCCCTTGGGTCAGGCTGATAATTTCCAACTGGTAACTCCAACACCCGTTCCATACATAAATCAGAGCATTTCCTTGGCTGTTAAGGTGAAGTAAACTTTTACTTCAAATGTAGATGACCTATTTCAGCAAGTGCTGCTACGTGGTCATTTTTATTTGCTTAAATTATAAGGTGAATCGATAAGCACATTTAACTACCACCCCTACACACAGAGCGAGGGAGAGAGAGAGAGAGAGAGAGAGAGAGAGAGAGAGAGCGGGGAAAATAAATACGCACACACACATATGAATTGTGGATATTGACGTCAATAACGAGTGGCGACAGGCTGTTTCCTGCTTGAACACAATTTTGTGACCGTTATATATTATGAACAAAGCAAAACATTTATAATGGCATGAACAAGCTCAATCCAAAATATTGAGAACTTTTAACCCATAAATATAACATAGTTTAAAACTATCTGTCTGTCTATGTTCATTATCTAAGTCTATTCATTATCTATCTATCTATCTATCTATCTATCTATCTATCATTTCACCAATTTCTCATCCGACACGCCACGTGCGATTTTCGAAGTTCTTTTTAATATAGGTTTTCCGTTTGCATTTTCATGTAGCTTTGGTTATAATTGTGACATCACTATTGTTGTTTAGTTGCATTTTTACACAAATTTTCTTTAGTCTTCTATAATTATTTTCTATCGCAACGCTGTGCCCGATTTTTTTTCTGAGAACTTTTCTTTTGATTTAATTTTACAATGTGACTATTTATGTCCGATTTTTTCACACTCATAGCATTTCGGATTCTTAAATGAACATTAGTCTCCAAGATGAAAACTTTCATATCTGAAACGTGGAATAAGTTTTTTTTTTCCATATTTTTCTTTAGCGTGTATGTATGCGCATTCTATTCTTCAATTTCTTCCGTATCACGTCTCAGATTTAGGATTCTCTGAAATTTGTCCAATGTTTCTTGTATTTATTTATTGTGTTTAAGTTTTGTTAGAATTCTCGCACGTATTTCTGCGTTTTTGGGGGTTTTTTTTTTGTCGCCATTAACCCTTGAACAATAATTAATCATTTAAACATATCCGGAGTCAGTTCATTTAATTTGAATATTTCACGCACCTTGTTAACGATTCCAGCATATGTGTCAAAATCTTCGTCTTGTTTTTTCGTCAGATTCATACACTTCCAAAAAGTATTGAATAACGAATTTTTCTCACTAAAAATTTTAGTCAGAATATTTACTGTATCTTTAAAATAAATTTCTCCTGTTTTTTTTTTTTTTTTTTTTTTTTTTTTTTTTTTTCTTCGGTAGGACAAAATTGCAGTAATTCTCTTCTGCCGGTGCTAACTTACTCAACAAAAGTCTTGTTTTTTTTTCTCGTTTCCCCAGTCGTTGTATTCTTCTGTGAAGATTTTCTCGTATCTTCTAAAATAATCAGAAAAGGTAATTCCATCATCTGAATTGTATGTAAATTCATATATGGCATTTGCCACCCCTTTGGGAGTGAAAGAACTAGTGGAAAATGTCTGTTTTCTTCCGTATTGTTTCAATTAAATATTGTTGTTGTTTTCGTAATTCCAACAACTGCTGTTGTTGCTCTTGCTGTATTTTTATCATTTCGGCTAATATTTCATCCATATTTGAAGAATATCTGCTTTTTTAACTCTTTCTTTTTTTTTCTTTTTTTAAACACAGCAAGAAAATAAAACCCAACGCGGTCCTTGTTACGGTTTTTTGGGTATATATGCTTATAACTAGTGAGCGAGTCAGAATGACTTATTTCCCTTTATAGTCGACCAATGGTAGGTTGACCAATTAGAAGCCGCACAACACTATATTCATCGTGTATAAAGGCGGCCATCTTGTTTCGTCTACCAGAAGGACCAAAGGCGACCAGGAGAAGGATGAACTATACTCTGCTGTGATATCCACTGCGAACCTTCACTACGTTTTCCTACTGTCTCCGAAATATTCACTGCCAACCCCTAGATTCAATACTCAAGGACGACCGTCATGGAAATGTCTAACAGTCCTAATTTCTCTTCGACATTGCTATCATGTGCGCCGAAGCAAAAAAAAAAAAAGTACTTTTTTTCTACCCCGTATTAGTTTCGATCCCTCTTCGCCATTGTTATAACTCGTTCCAAGTGGTTATAATTTTATGTCTAGCTTAGGTTACTCGCCGTGCCGTCATTAAAATTTTTACGACTGACTCCAACGGACTGATATTTACCCAATGTCACCACTGAGACGAGATGTAAAATAAAGTCGGGTTTAGCGTGGGGAAACTCGAACGCGTACACTGAGGCAAATAGTCAAAATTTACCCAGACCCCGCAATCGCCGCATCGTACACTTTACATTGTCTATTTTTCTCAGCCGAATCTCCGTCCGTGGCAGAGCCCCGACTGAGTCGTACTCTGCCCGAAGACAGAGATCTTAACAGTAGCGAGCCAGACAACGGACTGCCTGACTCCAACGGACTATTGCTGACTCATTTCTTTATTTAAGGTGTCTTGTCTCATTTATTTGTATGACCGGCCTTGTCTTATTTACTCCACCCCAAAGAAATTGTAGAATATTATAATATGGATTAATATCATGCAAGAGTTCTTTCATTTTGGTTGTTTGGCTGATTTTGTTTAGCGCCATATCAACCTTTATTCGTTATTTCATGCCCAATGCTATGCTTTCAACTACAGATAAAATATATTTTGGGACATTTTGATATAAATATATATTTTTTACACTTTCATAGTGTCTTGCATGGGTTCACTAAAAGGTGCTGCCGTCCCGGGTTAGGGCTGACCTTGGAACAACAGCAATCAAGAAGTGGTTCCACGCTCCTTGCAACCTCCAATCTCTTGATCTGGGGCCTTGCTGCCGGATTTAGTTTATCGTCATACCTAGGACTACGTAGTTTTAATCGCGAAGTATTTTGTTCTTTTGACTGTCGAAGTCAGCAGTTCTTGAACTTTGTCGTCTACTTCCGTTTTATCCTAGATAGAGACAACAGACATAAAACTCTTCTTGTTATAATTTTTCATCTTTGCGACATGATTACAGTGTCCTGCTAAACTTTGTTGCACCCCTGATGCTACCTTTGGTAGTCCACCATGTATTCCAGCATTATAAGTGTGACTTCTTAAGTAACACTCATCAACTTGTTTCTTCAGATATTTAGTGATAGTACCCTTTTCTTCAGATATTTGGTTTATAGTACCCATTTTCTTCAGATATTTGGTCATAGTACCCTTTTCTTCAGATATTTGGTCATTGTACTCTTTTCTCTAGATATTTGGTCATATTACTCTTTTTTTTCAGATATTTGGTCATATTACTCTTTTCTTTAGATATTTGGTCATATTAATCTTTTTTATCAGTGATAGTACCCTTTTTTTCAGATATTTGGTCACAGTACCCTTTTCTTCAGATATTTGGTCATCGTACCATTTTCTTCAGATATTTGGTCATAGTACCCCTTTCTTCAGATATTTGGTCATTGTACCATTTTCTTCAGATATTTGGTCATATTACTCTTTTCTTCAGATATTTGTTCATATTAATCTTTACTTCAGATATTTGGACATTGTACCATTTTCTTCAGATATTTGGTAATAGTACCCGTATCTTCAGATATTTGGTCATATAACTCTTTTCTTCAGATATTTGGTCATAGTACCCTTTTCTTCAGATATTTGGTCATATTACTCTTTTCTTCAGATATTTGGTCATCGTACCATTTTATTCAGATATTTGGTCATATTACTCTTTTCTTTAGATATTTGGTCATAATCTTTTCTACAGATATTTGGACATTGTACCATTTTCTTCAGATATTTGATCATCGTACCCTTTTCTTCAGATATTTGGTCATATTACTATTTTCTTCAGATATTTGATCATCGTACCATTTTTCTTTTGGTCAGATATTTGGTCATAGTAATCTTTTCTTTTATTTGGTCTTCACAGTACCCTTTTCTTCAGATATTTGGTCATATTAGATATATGGTCATATTTTCTTCAGATATTTGGTCATCGTACCATTTTTCAGATATTTGGTCATATTATTTTGTCATATTTACTTCAGATATTTTTCTTTAGATATTTTGTCATATTAATAACTTTTTCTTCAGATATTTGGTCATAGTACCCTTTTCTTCAGATATTTCGTCATCGTACCATTTTATTCAGATATTTGGTCATTTTCTTTTTTCAGATATTTGGTCAGATATTTTTCATCAGGTTCATTTTCTGCAGATATTAGTAATAGTTTTTCTTCAGATATTTGGTCATCGTACATTTTTTATTCAGATATTTGGTCATTTACTTTTTCTTCAGATATTTGGTCATTGTACCATTTTCTTCATATATTTTCTTCAGATATTTGGTCATATTACTTTTTCTTCAGATATTTGTTCATATTTTTATTCAATATTTATATTACTTTTAGATATTTTGATATTTGTTTTCACATTTTGTACCATTTTTCTTCAGATATTTGGTCATAGTACCCTTTTCTTCAGATATTTGGTCATATACTCTTTTTCTTCAGATATTTGGTCATCGTACCATTTTCTTCAGATATTTGGTCACAGTACCCTTTTCTTCAGATATTTGGTCATCGTACCATTTTCTTCAGATATTTGGTCATCGTAGATATTTGGTCATTGTACCATTTTATTCAGATATTTGGTCATATTACTCTTTTTTCAGATATTTGGTCATATTAATCTTTTTCATCAGATATTTGTTCATATTAATCTTTTTCAGATATTTGGTCATAGTAATTTGGTCATATTACCCTTTTCTTCAGATATTTGGTCATCATTTTATTCAGATTTTTCATTCAGATATTTTTCTTCAGATATCATATTTGATCATCTTTTCTTCAGATATTTGGTCATTGATATTTGGTCATCATACCATTTTTATTCAGATATTTGATATTTGTCATAGTAATCTTTTCTTCAGATATTTGGTCATAATACCCTTTTCTTTCAGATATTTGGTCATCGTACCATTTTCTTCAGATTCAGATATTTTGGTCATTGTACCATTTTCTTCAGATATTTGGTCATATTACCCTTTTCTTCAGATATTTGTTCATATTAATCTTTTTACTTCAGATATTTTTCTACCATTTTTCTTCAGATATTTGGTAGATATTTGGTCATATAACTCTTTTCTTCAGATATTTGGTCATAGTACACTTTTTTCTTTTGGTCATCGTACAGATATTTGGTCATATTAGATATTTGGTCATTTACTTCAGATATTTTGTCATATTAATGTTTTCATCAGATATTTGGTCATATTAATCTTTTCTTCAGATATTTGGTCATAGTACCCTTTTCTTCAGATATTTGGTCATATTACTCTTTTCTTCAGATATTTGGTCATATTAATCTTTTTTCAGATATTTGGTCATATTAATCTTTTTTCAGATATTTGGTCATATTAATCTTTTCTTCAGATATTTGGTCATAGTACCCTTTTCTTCAGATATTTGGTCATTACTAAGTTTTTGTTTAATTTTTGAAATATAATATTTTTATTTTAAATTTTTAAATTACATTTTTCCATGAATGTTTGAATAGAATCCTTAATTCCCTAAATGAATAAAAAGTCATATTAAAATTTGAGTGTTTTCAATGCTTTTATTTATTTATTTATTTATTTTTTTTTTGGTGGTGGTGAGGGGTGTCTCCTGTTAAAACAGTCCTACGCCTAAACGGCTTTGTCGAATAGTCCAATTATTTTTCTGACGCCGAATCACCGACGCCAAATGGGCTAGGCCGAAACGTACCAAACTCACCTCTATAAGTGCCAGATCGGGCCGAAAATGGAGTACTGATGTCATTTTTGAACAGGAGTTGCTGTCCTCATTTTCCAGTCTCTATAGAGTTCAAAAGCGTGTCCGCATCCTTGTGAGAAACAAATTATTTGACACCCTCCAACTCCTCACTCACAGACGGAATGTATTAAGCCACTATTATGCACTATTATGTATTAAGTTCACTATCGCTATATTAATGGAAAGTGCTCGGGCGAACTATATTCCATGGTTTCGCAAGTTCTAAACATTACGGCTAGGAATCGTCTTGCGACGCATATTGTACCGGACCACCCGCATTCCCTCCGTATTCCATTGGTGAGAAGTTCTACTCCAGCATTTTCTTCCCGCAACTCATTGCTCTGTGGAACTGACTCCCAAGAGGATGTTTTCCTTCTCACTACAGTCTTAACCTGTTCAATTCTGGGGTTACCCGTTATCTTCCCCATATATCCGCATTAACTGTGCCTTTTACTCAGTAACCCTCTACCACGATTGGCTACTGGTCCTAGTACAGGGTGAACATCACTGTAAAAATGATAGAAAAAACTCTACCAGATAACAGAAACCACATCACTTGAGGACATTCAACAGCAGCAACAACTAAAATGGAGAGCGCATGTAATTTGAAGAGAAAATAATGACATCATAAAATACTTCAAATAAAAGGTTAGGAAGGAAACCTCCAATAATGCTGGAAAGAGCTATAACAGCTAACAGCTACTAGACTGGAGAAAACTATTTACCTGACTTTTTTTCTTCTTTTTTTTAGAATAGAATGATTTTATAAATATCAGCCTATAGTATCACTGGCTGTTCGGTCAATGAATGATGTTCTACACTACTTCAAATAAAAGGTTAGGAAGGAAACCTCCATTAATGCTGGAAAGAGCTATAACAGCTAGACTGGAGAAAGCTATTTACCTGACTTTTTTTTCTTTTTATAATGAATGATTTTATAAATATCAGCCAATAGTATCACTGGCTGTTCGGTCAATGAATGTGGAATTTTTAAGCGCAAGGAAACAGATAATATTAACATTTATACACGTAAGAGTAAAGCTGTTTATTGGCGAAGATAAGTTGTATTTTTTTTCTATGTGAAAAACCTCTGAGTGAATTGAAGAGATTTTTTATGCAAAAACTGGCCCCGAGTAATGTAATTTCGTTCTTGTATTTATACGGAATTGCACTACATGGTGTGTTCATCGATTTCGAATATAGCCTTTCTCCAAATATGACGCCCGTATATATCATTTCTTCGTCAATTTTTTCTGTCTGTGTTGTTTGCAGACGATACGTATTTACTACGCATGCGTACATGTCTTGTATGTCGGCCACTGCAGATTTCTTTAATAGATTTCGTTATATATATATATATATATATATATATATATATATATATATATATATATATCACCCACCAAACAGATTTTTTACAGTGAACTAAAGAATATAAAACAGACACTTATTAATAATAGCTTTCCAAACTATATAGTTGATGAACAAATAAGATGCTTTCTTAGAAATCTCAATAATAAGCAAATTGTACATAATACTGCTTCTACTGATCTCAAATATATTAATCTCCTATATCGTAATCAAAATGCATACTAATTATAAACAAGATGAACACATACTAAAAAATTTAGTAAATTCTAATATATCAACTACAGATCCTAGCAAAAAAATTAAATTAATCATATACTACACTAAATCTAGTATATCCAACTTAATACTTCGCAATGATTCTTCTCCCCCGGTTAGCGATTTGCAAAAAACCAACATAGTTTATAAATTCAAGTGCCCTTTGGGAGAGTGTATCTCCAACGAATTAAATAATATTTATGTTGGTCACACCACAAACTCGCTTTCACGACGCTTGACACTACATCTTAATGAAAACTCTAACATTTTTAGGCATTTAAAACAACATGCCAGCCCGCACACACAATTCCGTAAAATATATATATATATATATATGTGTGTGTGTTTGTGTGCGTGTGCGTACATCCTTTTGTATCTGTTTTTGTGGTTACGATCTCTCTAATTAAACAGGGAAGTTTCGTGTTTACGCAGAGGAAATCAAAGTTTAATTGCTGACTGGTCAACCTGTCCATTGTTTTCTCAAGTTATTGATTTCTACTACTTGCTGTTGTTACAAAAATAGAAGTTTTTTTTTTTCAACAATTATCCTTTCTTTCTAATTTTTTAGTTTTATTTCTTTATTCGTTTTTCGTATATTATTATTATTATTTTTATTTTCTTTGATTTCTGGCGTTTACACATTTCTTTCCGGGTCCCGCCCAGGGACCTAAGGTTAGAAATGGCGTCATGACACTTTCCACTGACAAAAAAAAAAAAATAAAAATAAAAATAAAAAAATTACATAGTTAAAGCCCTTCGTAAGGTGTGGGCTGTACTTGTCAGTTCAATTTTTTGTATCTCCTTGAGGCATGGACTTCCAGGAATCCCTTCAATTAGTCTACTGCAATCTTTTCCAACCAGTCCTAGGGCTCCATCTACAACAGGGATTGTTGATGTTCCAATATGCCACATTTTCGAGATTTCTATTTCAAGGTCCTTGTACTTTGACAACTTTTTGAATATCTTGAAAGATACATTGCAGTCAGCAGGGACTACCATATCAATAAGGAGGCACCGTTTTTGTTTGTGGTCTTTAATAACAATATTTGGCCGGTTGGCCTTGATTGTTCTGTCAGTGTGTATTGTGTAGTCCCATAGAATTGTAACAGGTCCTATCTCCGTAACCGGGTCTGGGTGGTGTTCATACCAGTTTCTTTCTGTTTTCTTCCCGTAGAAGTTGCAGATTTTCCAGTGCAGATATTGGCCCACTCTGTCATGTCGGGTTATATTCAGTGGGTGCCAACACCGTACAACCTGATACAAGATGATCAATCGTTTCTGGATATTTATCACAGAATCTGCATTTTGGGCTGACACAATATTTTAGTATATGTGCTTGATAATTCCTAGTTAGCAAGCATTGGTCCTGCGCAGCAAGGATAAAACCTTCAGTTTCCGCTTTCAACCCTGCACTACATAGCCACTGATGGGTACGGGTTTTGTCTACGTCAGCTTGTTTGGTACGGGCAGAGTATTGGCCATGAAGCGGTTTATCTTGCCATCGCTTCTGTAACTGGTCGGTTGCATTCGTCTTTGCTGTCTTTTTTAAGTATTTGCAGTTTCAGCCGGTGTATTGTGCTGTAGTTGCATCTCTACGCCCATTTGAAACTCCATTTTGAATTTGCTGGCTTCTTTCATTACGGAGTAGAGACGCTTACTACTTTCATGTTCCTTGACGCATACCACCATCCAGTCTTCTGTAGTTTCCAAATATCTTTGGAGGCCAATTGTTGTAGTTTTGTAGGACAGTTCTAGTTGAAGTAATCCTCTGCCTCCTTCGGATCTGGACACATACAGACGATCGACATCAGCTTTGGGATGATGCATGCGATAGCAAGTGAGTAGCTTTCTCGTTTTGGCATCCATTCGCTTAATTTCAGCTATGGTCCAGTTAAGGACATTAAAGCTGTATTGCACCACAGGGACAGCCAATGTGTTTATGGCTGATATCCTGTTTTTTGAGTTTAGCTCAGTATTTAGTACCAGACGTACACGCCTGTAGTACTCTTTTCTTATTTTATTATTATTATTATTATTATTATTATTATTATTATTATTATTCCAACACTTAGAGAAGTTCACAATTTAAAAAAAGAAAATAAATTAAAAAAAAAACAAACTACTTAACAATATTTCAACAGTACGTCTGTCTTCTTCAAGTTATGTTACTGTTGTA